TTAAATTGGCCAATAAGAATGCAAGATCGTGATATTATTTTGTGTAAAGAATACTTCAAAAGTCAAAATTAGCAAAATTCTTGGTTTTTCTGGAAGGATGGCCATGTCAATCTCCTGACCTAAATCCAATTGAACATTTGTGGAATGAACTAGAGACTTGTTTTTGAAAAAAACCTAAGCCAACAAAAAACTTAGGGAGTTAGAGGCACTTTTAATTGAAGAATGGGATAAAATTCCAGAAGATGTGTACATGAAATTAATCGAAAGCATACCTCATAGAATTGAGGCATTATTGCAATAAATTTACGATTATCAGATGAGTCTGATCAAGTTGATGAATCATTGGAAATTGATATAGATGAACCATACACTATATTAGAGGTTGGGTAAATGGTTATCTTTTATATATAATTATTGGTCGTTTATAATTATTTTATAATTTCTAGAATTTGAATTTGGAAGAAGTTAAAGAATTGCATGGAGATATTCTGAAATATTTGAGCCTTGAAAAAAACCCAAATCATCTTGAATTCTGGAGGGTAATTACTATGTATATATATATATATTGTGTGGTATTTATTTGATTAATTAATCAAATAATTAATTGCTCAATTAATTATCTATTTTACTCAGGCAATGATCGTTGTTTGTGACGATAAATTATCTGAACTTCATGATGATGAAAAAAATCATGCAGGGAATGTAATTGCACCAGTAAAAGACGAAATAAACAAGATTTTTGAAGATAAAACATATGAACAACTTCAAAAACTTCAATTAGGAATTCAACAAAAATTATCAGGAAAAGAAGCGGTGGATATTGAGTATTGGGAACAGCAATTGAAGTTATTGACCGTCTGGAAAGCAAAGGTAAACTTATTATTATTATTGTTTATATAAAATAACTTTTTATTTATCATAATTCAAATTTAATTTAATTATTCATCGTTATTTCTTCAAGGCAAAATTAAAAGCAATGCATGAAATAGTATTACAAAAAAGACTTGAACAACTTCGTAAAAAGCAAAGAGAAGAAGCTGTCAAAGTGCAGGAGGAATTGGAAACTGCGCTTGCAACTCATTCCCAGCATGTACAAGACGCAATGTCTGTTAATGATAGCATTGACGATGAAGATGAATATGAACATTTGAATCTTGAAGATATTGTGATTGAAGAATATGATCGATCAATGAGTCCTGAGCCATTCCAGAGATTATCTAGAGAAGATAAACAATTAGACATTCTTGAGTCTGGGAAGGATTTGAAAGAATTGGTAAATTATTATCATTATTAAAAACTTTTGAATTTATAAATATTATGTTCAATGGACTTTCATATTAGCTTCACTAATGCATTTAATTTGCATTATTAAAAAAATTTTTAATAGAAAGAAAAACGTAAACGTGTGCTTGAAAATCAATTTATACCAATGAGAGTACAACCTAAGAAACCAACTCTTGAAGAAGAAGAAGAATCTTTTGTAATATTATATTTATTTATATATATATATATATGTGCATTAATAGTTCTCTGATTGATTTATAATTGTAATTATTTTTATCAGGTTTCGAAAATGTTATATGAACGAGAAGCAGCAAAAGATTTGGATGAAGATGAAACTATTTTTAATATTGAAGAAGAATTAGCTAAAACTGTAAGAAAACAATCAATTGATCGATTAAGCAAAATTAATTAATTGATAATATTAATAATGACTTCCAACAATGACATTAATAGACATATTTATGGCAAGATAAGTATCGACCACGTAAGCCTCGTTATTTCAATCGTGTACATACAGGGTATGAGTGGAATAAATATAACCAAACACATTATGACAGTGACAATCCGCCTCCAAAAGTTGTGCAAGGATATAAATTCAACATATTTTATCCTGATCTAATTAATAAAACTAAAGCTCCAACCTATAAAATTGAAAGGGAGCCTGGTAATACTGATACAGTACTAATAAGATTCATTGCTGGACCGCCATACGAGGTAATTTAATATTTTTATGATGATGGTAAATTTTTATTTATTGTGATAATGATGCATTATCATTTTTTTTGTAGGATATTGCATTTCGTATTGTTAATCGCGAATGGGAATATTCTCACAAAAAAGGATTCAAATCAAGTTTTGATCGTGGAGTTTTGCAACTACATTTTCACTTCAAACGTCATTATTATAGACGTTAATTTTATTTTACGTAATAAAATTTATTATATATTTTCAAATATAAAAATATTATTTATTTATAAATTCATAGAATAAAAAACTAGCGCCAATCTTGTGTTATTATATATAGAAATTACTCTTATGCCCATGTTATTTTACAAGATTACTTACTCTTGTACATAAAAAACTCAAGATCATCATCGTCCTTGTTTATTACATCAAATAAATAACTGTTCTCTTTCCTATCCAAAAAAAAAGTACTCCATCAATGTTTTCCTGCTTTACTTTTCATTTCTTCAATCACGGTTAATACTTGAGATTTATTCTTTGGTGTCACCATGGAATGTTGATTTGCATTGTAATCATCAACTTTGAAGATATCCTTAAGTAAGTTATGCCCATGGTCCAGTTCATAAAACATTTTATTGACTTTTTCATATATTTCCTGCGCAAAAATGTTTAAATAACATGTCATTTTCTTTGATGTTAATATAGGAAAAAACTAATTCATAATTTTCAACCAACTTTTAGTGCTTACCATTGCATAGTTAAAAATCTTTATTGTGGATTTTAATTCCCCGATGTGAGCCAATTTTGTTGGTAACTCAAATGTTGAGCCGGGAAAAACAAACATAAAAGACATTTACTTACCAGGTTTTCTACTTGTCCACAAACTCCAGCAATTTGCAAAATGGAATTTCACTTGCTCATCAGTCAACTTTCTGCTCAAAAGGATATTTAAAATTGATTGGTTGATTCCAGCTGAGCGACAACGGCCTCCAATTGCTTTAGCTGGAGTTGCTTCGGCAGCAAATTCCCACTCACCAAGATCTATTCCTGCGAGACTTTAAAATCAGACATCACATATGTTACCCCTATCATAAATTGCGGATTGGCACAAAGGACAAAACGATTCGTTTCCGATGTACAAAAATATTCATAAGTTTATACGCTTGTTAGAGTCCAAAAGATATTCTTTGTTTACCATTTACAATGTATTCCATCTCCATTTTGCAACTCGTCGACAATGTAAGTTCATGCTTTTACAATAACATCAATTTCGGTGTGATCATTTCTGTCTCTAACTTTAGAAAAGTAAATAAAGGCAAGCTTAGCAAAAGTATCGGTCACCCTAAATACACCATTTACGCAAAAACGTACATAATAATTGTACAAAAAATTATATCAACTTGTGGCATATGTTCCGGAGATCCAGCATATAAAATTTCATATTTTTTAAAAACCTTGACAACAGATCTAAACCTCTTATTAATTTAATATTTCGTGGGCCATCTATTACTTGCAATAATGCCTCAATTCTATGAGGTATGCTTTCGATTAATTTCATGTACACATCTTCTGGAATTTTATCCCATTCTTCAATTAAAAGTGCCTCTAACTCCCTAAGTTTTTTGTTGGCTTAGGTTTTTTTCAAAAACAAGTCTCTAGTTCATTCCACAAATGTTCAATTGGATTTAGGTCAGGAGATTGACATGGCCATCCTTCCAGAAAAACCAAGAATTTTGCTAATTTTGACTTTTGAAGTATTCTTTACACAAAATAATATCACGATCTTGCATTCTTATTGGCCAATTTAACGATCTGCAAAGTAAAAATTGTCAATCGACCAACTTTTAAGGAAGATTTTACGAAAACCACAAGGACAACAACCGAATTTTTATTCACAGATCAATCAGCTGAATCTCAAAGATCATTTTTATATTAGTAAGTAATACCTTCAGAAAAAAGTTTTTTATAACAGAAAAAAAATTTCGGCCATCAATAGCCGAAAAACCGTTTAAGGGATAGTGACCAATAATTTGTCCATGTTCAACTTGATTTAAATTCATTTTTAAAATCTTTAATTCAAAATCATGTGAAAAAAATTCTTCCTGAAAATCAGATAACCTTAATTTATCAGATGTAAAAATATTAAACAATGTTATCACGTAAGATTTAGAGCAATGATTAAAAAAACTTACGAATTTTTATTTTTCAAAAATGATCAACTTTTTTTTATTTTTTATTGTTTAAGTTCTGGAAAATTTAGAAATATGAAATTTTATATACAGAATCTCCAGAACATAAGCTACAAGTTAATATAATTTTTTTGTATAGTTATTATGTACGTTTTTGCGTAAATGATGTATTTAGGGTGACCGAAACTTTTGCTAAGCCTACTTTTTCCACCTTTATAATGGACTCCCACCAACTCGGAAACTTTGAGAATTTCTTCATAGTCTTTCATATTCTTATGTTCACTGACAAAAAACCACGCCCACCTATATGCCAAGAGATCAATTATTCTTGACATGTCATATCTCGAGGTAGCTAGCTTTCTGCATTACAGTTAATTTCTTCTTACTTTTAAGATTTCTGCATGTTGAGATATATTTTCAGCAAATGTCCTTAACGAATTTTCCTGAGGGCAAACTCCAATTCTGTATGTTAGCTGACACAGAGCTGAAAACTCTGTCCAAAGCAGGAATTTCTTCAACGTCATCATCACTATCATATACAATTATGTTGGGTTGCAATGTTACTCATAGAAGTAAAATCTGGTAGTGATGGTGGCAGTGGTAGCACTGAGCCATCAAGAAGGACATTTCCAGCAACCTTCTCCATTCTCTTTCTACTTCAAATAAAAAATTGTATTGTAGTCACATACTGTTGACATAAGATAAATATGGATGAGAACAGTTTATTAATCTTGATTTCCTTGGTTTGACCAGGATTCAAAAGATAATAGTCATCATTTTCCACAATTTACATATTTGAAAGTTTTCTTAAAGAATTGTTATCTAATTTTAAAGAAATGGAAAACTTAAATCTGAAGAGCATAGTGGACATTCGTTTTATCACATGTGACAAAATCGATCGTTGATCTTTTTTATGTTGTGAAACATATGACTTCAATTGAATTTAGAATGGAAAAAAGTCGCGTGACTGCGCACAAAAATTTGTTTAACCTGAGATGTATTTTTTTAACGTGTATATTTTGCTTTCTATGTTCTTGGTATGTGTGTGAAAAATGATCAAATGATCAAGTTGCTTTTGAAGGGTTACATAGGAGCTATGTTTCAAGCTTTAGTGATCAACGTAAGTATATTGTAAGACATTCTAGGCTCAGATTCATGCATTTTTGTTTTATAATAAGTTTATTTAAAATTTTACATTTCGGAAATAATCATTCTTCATTTAATGTAACAAATTATCATTAACCATTATCTTTTTCTATTCTATTATTATTATATAGGATTTTACATTTGAGACAACACCTTTTTTATAAAGTTCCATGACCATGTATTAATGTTATACCTTCTTGTTCATCTCTTTGATCACATCATTATTATTGACAAGAGATGGAGAGAAAGAAAAATGTGAGAAACTATCTGTGATGGAAGATAAACTCTCAGTTGTAAATATTATTATTTATTTATTTTTTATATTGTGATCAAGTTTTTTGTTATATAAACTTGATATACTAAATTTTGGATAATATTTTATTTATTATAGTGAAAAAATTATTTTAAACACACATGCATATATATCTTTAGAGGAACTATTACTAGTAAGAGGTTTAATGATGTTCAATTATTACAATGCATATATATATATACAGTCACTGGAAAAAAGTATCACTTCACCTGATGATTAGCAAAAATAATTGAATAACTCCGGTGATATAAAAAGTCATTATTTTACTAATCAAGTTGATGTTGTGTAATAACAAAAAAATCTTTTTCATAACGAATTCTATAACATACTCAAGTTCCACAAGATTCAATTAATTATTGGTAATTTTATAATCTTTAAAAGACAAAAAAA